GCCCACCCGAGTATTGGCCCGTGCCTCGGGGGCCCATCCTGCCGTTTGAAAGCTACGGGGGTCCTCACCGTACCCCGGCCCCCCGCGCGCACACCACCGGGGGCCCCCCCCCCCCCCCCCCCCCTCGCGCGCGCCTACTGCATGCGTCCGTTGGCACGAGGAATGACGCTGGAGTTGGCTCAGCCTCCCCCGGCGGGCGGCGGAGGCCGCCGGCGCGCCCGGAAACTGGGCTCCGGCCAGGCCGGGCTGTGACTCATCGCCCGGGGGTACTGGGTCATCACACAGGGCCCCAAGAAAAGCAGGCCGCTTGCCCGGCCAGGGGGGTGCTCATTGTGACGAATGAATTCAGTTGGCAGCCGGCGCCCTTGACTGGGAGGTTCCTGAATGATAGCCGGCTGCCGGGGCACAATCGGCGCGCCCTTTGATGGGCACAGCGGCCTGCGGGTATGGACGAATGCGAGGTAGGCCTGCACGTCGCACACGCTGGAGCCGGGGGGCGGGGGGGCGGGAGGGGGCGGATTGGGGTGCCCCCCCCATCCTATCGGTGCCCAAGTGTGTTGCCCATCCCCGTCCCGCCCCCCCGACCCCTCCCATCCCGTCCTGCTGTCGTCCCGGGCGGGGAATTAAAAAGCCCCACCATGCTCTAGACACCGCCCGGGGGCTTGAGCCAGAGAATTGGTGAACTTGTGCCCTCACCCCCTCCCCCCTGTGCACACTCCCCTCCCTTTCCTCCCTTGCTTGCCTGCCCGATGACTTCCTCCTCTGCCCCGATGGACGCCGTCATGGACGCCCCCAGCGCCAAGCGCGTCAAGCTCTCCCCTTACACGTGCGTGTGCCAGCCCGCTTGCCTCCTGTTCGCCTGGTGCCTCCGCTCGGGCAATTGCCGCCCCTCTTGCGCGTGGAAATGCCTAACACCCGGACCGATGATCCCGCAGCAAGGTCAACGCCAACGGCGCCTCCTCCTCCCGGTACCGCTACCACACCGGCTTCGGGTCGCACTTCTCCTCCGAGGCCCTGCCGGACACCCTGCCCAAGGGGCAGAACTCGCCGCAGGTCTGCCCGCGCGGCCTCTACGCCGAGCAGCTGTCCGGCACGGCCTTCACCAAGCCCCGGACCACCGGCAACTTCTTTTCCTGGCTGTACCGCATCCGCCCGTCCGTCGGGCACCGCGGCTACTCGGCCATCAATGCCCCCACCGAGATTGTCGGGGACTTCTCCTGCTCGACCGTGGCCCTCCCGGTGCCGGACCAGCTCCGCTGGTCGCCCTTCCGCATGCCGGCCGACTCGGAGGCCACGGACTTCATCTCGGGCCTGAAGTCGGTCGCCGGTGCTGGCTCCGCGTCCGTCCGCAATGGCCTGGCCATCCACGTGTACACGGCCAACCGCTCCATGGAGCGGACCTCCTTCTACAACAGTGACGGTGATTTCCTGATCGGTGCGACCCCACTCCCGACAGGCGCTTTGCCGTTCGCCGGCCTGCGCTCGCCCCCTTGCGCATGTGCCCCCTCGTCATATCCACTGCTCGCCCCCGCCCCCGGCAATTTTCCATTCTCACACCATCTCCCCCCATGGCCGGCCGCTTCGTCGCGCGCAGTCCCCCAGCTCGGTGGTCTCGACATCCAGACCGAGTTCGGCATGATGGACCTGCTGCCCAACCAGATTGCCGTCATCCCCCGCGGCATTCGCTTCTCGGTCAACCTCCACGACAAGCAGGCGTACGTTCGACGGTGGCCACCGGCTTCCCTTTGCCCTGTGCCCTGTTGCCTGGTGGTAGTGGTCCCCCCCCTCCCTCCTGACATCCTCCCTTTCTTTCTCTCTCTCTCTCTCTCTCTCTTTCTCCCTTTCTCTCTCTCCCCTCTTCGACCCCAGCCGCGGGTATGTTCTCGAGGTCTTCAACGGGCGCTTCGACCTGCCGGACCTCGGTCCGATCGGTGCCAACGGCCTGGCCAACCCCCGGGACTTCGAGTACCCGATGGCCCACTACGACCAGGATGCCGCCACCAATGTCGCCGCGCCTGGGCCGGATGGCGCCCCGACCGACGAGTGGTGGCGCGTGGTCACCAAGTTCCAGGGGAAGCTCTTCTCCGCGGCGCAGCCCTTCACCCCGTACGATGTGGTCGCCTGGCACGGCAACTATGCCCCGTACAAGTATGACCTGGCCAACTTCATGGTCATCAACACGGTCAGCTTCGATCATTGTGTACGTTGCTCTTGTCTGTTGGATTGCTTGGCCGCCGGTGCCCGGCCCCGGGGCACCGGCTGCCGGCCGCCAGCCCGCTCGTTTGGTGTGCATGCGTGTGCATGTGCTCGCTCCCACTCACCTGCGACATGTCCGGCCCTTGCCCTCGCACCCACGCACCCACGCACCCACACGCGCAGGATCCCTCCATTTTCACCGTGCTCACTTGCCGGAGCCTGGAGCCCGGTGTTGCTGTGGCCGATTTCGTCATCTTCCCCCCGCGGTGGGGTGTTGCCGACCACACCTTCCGGCCGCCGTACTACCACCGGAACTGCATGTCCGAGTTCATGGGCCTCATCAATGGCGCGTACGAGGCCAAGGCCGGCGGCGAGGAGGACGGCTTCGCCCCGGGTGGCGCGTCCCTGCACAACACCATGACCCCCCATGGCCCGGACCGCAACACGTTCATCGCCGCCAGCGATGAGAAGCTCCAGCCCCGGCGTATCGCCGACGGCACCCAGGCCTTCATGTTCGAGACGCACTTCATGCTCAGCCCCACTCGCTGGGCGCTGGAGCGCTCGGGCGTCGTTCAGCCCCGGTATGTGAGCTGCTGGGAGAACATGCCGGTGCGCTTCAACCCCGATGGGCTGGAGGCCATCCGCGAGGACTCCTCCGCCTAAGGCAGGAGCCAGGCTGCCGAGCGCACAGCACATGGCCATCGGTCTCCCCTGTGTCGTGCTCCGACGTGCCCCCGGCGTCCTGGTTGGGCTGCACATTGTGCTGGTTCTCCTGGCACCGCGGGACTGCCCATGTCATTTCACCTCTCTCCACACGGGGCTCTTTGTGCCCTGGTGCACCTGCCTCAATCACATCCCATGGAATCACATCTTCTCGCCCCAAGGAGCAGGTCTATTTCTATCCTCAACAGAGGGGGGAGGGGGCGGGGAGGGGAACGCAAGGACGGGGGGAGGGAGGGGAGGGCGAAGAAAAGGAGAAGGCTTGGGGGGAGGGGGGGGGGGGGGAATGGCTCTACTCGGAAGGTGGCCCGGGCTCGGGGGGCGGCACCGGGTCCGAGTGGAGGCGCCGCTTGCGGCCGACCGAGTGCAATTGCCGGGCAAAGGCGTGCGGATCCTCGACACCGGACGTGGTGACCGGACTCTGGGTATACATGTCCAGGATGGTGTCTTTGACGGCTTCGGAGTTGACTGTCCGCCGGAAGAGCCCCTCGCGGGAGTCCTGCGCAAAGTGAGGCACTGCGACGGGCGCGAAGGGGCCGCGAAGGGTTAGCACAGGAGCCAGGGATCGCGCTTGATGGGCAGGTCGGCGGAGTCCCGAGCCCGGGGGTGGGGGGGGG